GAGATTATTTTAGAAGCTATGTCATCATATTTTACCACCTCATATTTTACCACCCTTCTTTCAGCAAATCATATTAGTTTTGATTTTTTTGCTATGGATATAATCAGAATCTCTATGATGCAGGATCTTTTTGAAGATTTCTTTTGGGTCATAAGATGTCTGCTCATCTCAAATTGATTGGTGCAAGTTGCATGAAAACTTTAATTTTAATGGTCATTTTTTTAAAAAAAGAAAATACCTTCTGTTATCAGCATGGATTGCATTTTATTAACTGTCATTTTTCTTCTTGCTCTCATTATAAAATCCTCCCCATCAAACATAAACACTAGTAAACCCTGGAAACCAAGATTGACTAAGAATTTAGTGGCAAATTAACATTTCCTATCTTTATAAAAAGGATAATAGTTTTTAGGGTTTTGCCAGTTTCATTTTAGTACTGGCTTTGTGACTTCTGAGTACTAGTTTGTCTATAAATCAAAAATAAAAATTACCAGCCCCCATCTCCCATTTCACTGGGGAAACTGAGAACCAGAAAAGTTAAGTGATGCCCCCAGGTCTCACTTTGAAACAATAGCAGATCCAATCCTAGTATCCAAATGATACCCAGGTCTAGTATTACCTTCATCTTGCCGGTGCCATTGGAAGGAGCACTGAAGTACCATTGAAGTGTGCTTTTTGTGATGATTTGCCTTTCAGCACATTGTCTAGAATGTGCTAGTTAAAACTTAACTGTTCTTTAGAATGATTTGTGACTCTCCTCCTTTTCTTTTAACAGGATTAACTTTACAGGCTAATTGGGAATTTTATTACGTAGAAGGATGTTCTCTTTGAGAATCTAGATTCCTATCTCCTCTCTTCATGTCTCAGGAGGAGATATCAAACATTAAGAATTGGGATCGACTCAGGCTCACATATGATTTCATTTAAAGTATCATCATGTTAATGATTTCACCCAAAACTCTTTTGCTGTTGTGCCCAAGGTTGCGACTCCACAGTATTTGACATAATTAATTACTTGCCTACATTAGAAACTAATAGAATAGGATGCAGTCTTTTGCAAGCACTAAAATATCAGTGGTTTCTCATTACAGTGCCCTGTATATTTATTAATATTGGATTGATTCATTCGTTTATTAAATGAACATTTAATGAGTACCAGCTACTTTCCTAGATACTAGGTATATGTATATAGCAACAAAGAAGACAGTCAATGCCCTCGTGAAGCTTACATCTAGTGGGATTGCCAAACAATAAACAGTAAGCTAATTAGGGATGTGATAAATAGAGGAACAGAAATATATAAGATGGTATGATGAATAGGCAATGAGAATGGCTAATTTTATGTGGGGTTAAGAAAGACCTCTCATAAAAGGGGACACAAAAAAATAAAATAAAAAAAGGGGGACACGAAAGCAGATTCCTGAGGCTAAGATTGAACTAGCATTCCCTTTGCTAGGGAACCTGCAAAGGCCGTCTAGGGAGCCTCAAGATAGAAGGGTCACTGTTCCCTATCTATTAACTGAAAATATAAAGATCCTACTATACACTACTCGTGGGAATACTGTGGTGACAGCAATAAATTTAAATACAAAATGGCCTAATGGGGTGTGGAGGGGAGGCCTAACCTGAGTTGGATATGTATAATAGGCAATGAAGGAGAAATGGAAGTCTTTTTCTCTACTTTTAGAAAGAAAAGAAAATTACCTGGGTGTACAGGCAGTCACACAAGCATTTAGAGATCTGTATCTTGCTTTCTGTAATTAGAGGCTACGTTGTGTGATGCCAGTTGTCAATGTAAGGAGATCACAGAAGGCAAAGATTTTGGCCTGGAGTTGGGAGTTGGCCTGAGCCTTGAGGTATGGGTGAATTTGGATTGGCCAACAGGAGGCAGAAGAGGGTGTTTCAGGCTGAGAACTATACAAATAAGTGTACTAAGGTGGCGCCACCAAAAATTTTTTTTAAAAGTATGCAGAAAGAGATGTTAACTAAGCTTAATGTGGTAATCATTTCATAGTATATACATGAATCAGATCATAATGTTACATGTCAGTTATATCCCAATAAAGCTGGGAGGAAAATCATTTTTTTCAAAAAAGATAACTAAACAGGACTGAACTTCAATGAGCTTGAGACCATGAAGACTCAAGCTGGAGCCAGAGTGGTATTTGAGAGAATAAAAGATAATATTTTGGTCTGATTCATAGAAGTCATTGAAAAGTTAGTGAACCTATTTTATCCTGATGTTTTAGACAAGAGGGAATAATAATGATTGTTTCTTGAACAAGAAAATCATAAAAAGAGAAATTTGGTGATATAGATACAGGTTAATAGGGACAGGAGGGAAAATCCTGGAGGATGGGAGACTAGGTAGGAAGAGGACCTTCTTTTTTTATCCTGCCATTTCATGGTACCCGGTGATGAAAATGTGGACCATGCTCATATCATAGAAAGGGAATGAGCTGTATATGAGACTTTTTGGGGAAATGAACACTGACACTTGATGCCTAAAGAGCGATAAATCAATAGTCAATATGCCTGCTCTCCTGAGCCCCAGGGACTGGCTGACCAGTGTCATTGATGGAATTTGAGAAGTTTGCCTGGAATGTTAAGTGTCACTTTGGACATGTTAAGTTTCAGAAGACAGCAAGACACCCAGATTGTGATGTGAGCAAACAAGTAGAAGTACAGAACTAGAGCTAATGTGGAAAATCAAATTAAGAAATGCAAACAGGTGATGAGAACTGAGGACTTAGCTCTTGAGAATGGTGCTTATGATAAGGGTATGCGTTATGGGGTCACAGTACACAAACAGCCTGAGTAGAAGGTACCAAACAGCAGTGGGATAAAAGCCAACACAAGAATTTCAGGCAGCAAAATAGGGAAAGTTCTTAGGGAAATGCCATTATCATTATCGCGATAATGATATAAGGAACCTTTTAATGTGATTACTACGTGTCCTAAGGTCTTTCAACATAAAAACACGTTCCTCCCCACAACCTTTAAAATAGCAAACGCTATTGTTATCCCTACTTTATAGATGAGAAAGCTTGGCACGGAGGGTTAAGCAATTTATCCACGATTACACAATTTGAAGAAATTGGAACTGAGATTCAAACACAAGCATTGTGTTTTCAAAGCCTTCATCCTTAACCTCCCACGCCATATGGTTATAATATCCACGATGGTGTTTTAATTGCATCGTTTGACTTCCATCTTATGTAAGTTTCTTGAAAAGGAGTTAATTAATTAACAGTTTAAAAAGTGGAAACTAGGAAGTCAACAGATGGCTGGACAGTGATTGGATAATCCCTTTCAGCAGACAAGAACATGGAATTCTCTAGGGTAAGGCAGAGAAAAGGAAGAATAGAGCTTCTGGTCTGTTTTTTCTTTCTCCTCTCTCTCCATATACTGTTAGCTGTTGAAATGGGAAAATTGTCCACTTTAAAGAGAGTGGGGGAATTTTCTAGTGCTTTCTCTATACTGTAAATGTCTGTGTCCTTATTTTTATACCAGGAAAGATAGTTTATCCAAATTGTCAATCAAAAATTTGTATTAAAAATCATTGCTTTCTTAATTTTCATTAATAAATGAGAGATTGCAAAAGAGTAGGGTTTCTGAAATAGCATCAACATGGACATTACTAGAGTATATTCAGTCCGGGAGCCCAAGGGCCTGCATTTCTCTCTGGAGAGACTCAGGTCTTAGAGCAGGAGTTATGGACTGGAACCCTTCCCTCTGGAGAAGATACACAAGACTTCTTTGACACTGGGTTTAAAGAATGCTTTCCCATTGCCTGGGAGAGGACTTTGTTCCCATTTTCCATGCTTTTCCGGGTTCCCCCAGCCTTTCTGACATCTCCATTGTTTAAGGAAAAGGCAAAAGAAAATAGTTCCCAGCCCTCCAGTATAAGAAGGGTAAGGCACCTGCTAGCTGCCTCAGCTGTCCTGGGGAAAGCTGGAGCAGGTCTTCCTTTAATGAGACTGTAAATGGATGTCATCTAATTACTCTTCTTGAAGCACAATCTGCTCAAGTGAAGTGGCTGCTTAAAAACTTTCAATATTTTCCCATTTTAACAGAGTAAAATTCTTAGCCTTTTATTTAGAACCCTCCATGATTTGGGCCCATGCAGTGTATGTCCGACCTTGTTACCTGTATGCTCCCTTTTTTGGTTGGGCAAGCTGACACCTATTCCATTTCTACTCCATGCCCCCACTTGCCTGTGGCTATGTTTACCCTGATGCCTATGGGGGTGCCTCTTCCACTTTCTAATCTCTAGTATCACTGCCCCCCTTACGTGCTGCAGACAGTGTTCATCCAAATACTATCTCCACCGTGCAGCCTTACTGAGCTCATCTGAACTCCCAGATGATTTTATCACCAATTCTCATTTTATCTATATTCTAGATATTTGTGTGCATATATTATCTTCCTTATACATTCTGGGCAGAATTTGTACCTAATTTAACTTTGTATCATCCATTTCACCTACTCTTAAAATCAGAGGAAGTTAAAACATAACGGTCACTTGCAATAATATGTCTTTTTTTAAAAACTTCTCCTTTCTCTGTGCCCTGGTAAATAAGTGAAGCTAGAACAGATCCAGGTCTCCCAATTTTCAGCCCAGGACTTACCCTCGAACAGCAGTGGTTCTCCCCCTGGCTTGTGTTTTAGAATCACGGGACATCACCCATGGTGCTTTTAGAAATAATTCTGATCTGGAAGCCTCAAACTATAGAATTTAGAACCTCAGGAGTGCAGCCCAGACATCAGCATTATTCAGGTCTCCCAACATGATTCTAATTGTACAACCAAGATTAGTAATAAATTCCCCACAGCATGATGGCCCTTGGACCATTCTTGCTTTGCTAGGTAATTCTGTTAATTTGAGAAACTTGTATTTTTTCACATAAAGAAAAATTTAAAGTAGAAAAGTGCGATGATAGTAGAGCACTTTTTGTTTTGCTTACAACAGTAGCTTATGTAATTGTTTAACTTTTCAGATATTTCGAAAGAAAGCAGTGGAACTTGGGGTGAAATTGTTACCTGCATTTCATACTCCATCTGGAATACCTTGGGCATTGCTGAATATAAAAAGGTAAAACTCTTCATTTTAACAACATATATTTTTTTTAAGTTGGAACATGCAATACCATGACTTAACTGAATGGATAATTACTTGTATGATGTCAATGACTGATACCACTGGCAGTCTTGGCATCCATCTGTGAGTGGAAGCTATTAGTTTTCCAGTGCTCCTTGGCCTTACGGGGGTCCCTGTCACGAGATGGCATGACCCCAACAGGGTCATCCAAGCCAAACATGATTTGAGATCTTCGTTATTTCATGGTGATAGTACATTTCGTTTCTCTATAGATACCAAGAGCATCCCTTTACCTTTAAAATTGTCACCAAAGCATTTCACTTCCAAAGAGTCCATCCAGTTCCTAAGAGCACTTACTTCAGTTAGGCCTCTGGCAGAGTAATTGCAGAGCTTAGAGCCTTGGACTGATCAGATCTCCCCTGTAAGGGGTGACAAAAGGGGAGCACCTGGGGCTGCCCTGCCCACATCTGTAAAGGAGAGAAGGGAACTGCCCTGCCGACCCAGATTAGCCAGACCTGCTCATGCTTGGGTGGAGAATCTTGTTATGCTAAGTCCATGGGAATTTTGCTCTGAGAAAACCGGTATTAAACGGACTTTCTGGTACTTTCCCAAGGAGTAGTTTGAATTTTCACAATAGCTTCTACATTTTGTCAATCAACAGTTTTATCTTAAACTTCCTTCTTAACTCCTTCTTCCCCATAAGTAATTAATTGCTTATGTAACTCTTTGTGGTGATGGTGATAATGATGATAACTATAGCTATTTTATCATCATGAAATATGAAGCTTTGTTTTAGGCTCTGGGCATGTATTGCGACATTCAATCCCACAATAACCCAATAAGGTCCATACTGTTGTTATCCCCATTTTACTAACGGAAACTAATAAGGAACTTGTGTTGCAGAGAAATTAAGTAACTAGTAACTTGCCCAACATCATACCGTCTGTTAATGGTAGAGATAAAATATGTGCTTAGACGTTTATACACACATTGATGCATAGGCACGAACGAAAGGGCTTCCTTGGTTTAGAAATGCCAAGAGGATGTACAGGGTGGTTTGGCAGGATTAATGCATGTTTATTCTTAATTATTTCTTTTAGTGACTTTCCTAAAATTAATCTTAAAAAATCATGAAATTAATTATTTGATTAATAAATCAGTTAAATGTCATGCTTTGTTTTCAATTGTATGTTATGTATCTGTGCCTTGAAATCACCCTATACCTGTGTGTAAGTGTGTGTGTGCTTGCCTGTGTGTGTAAGTGTGTGTGTGTTTGGGGCGGGGGTATTGTAGAGCAGTGAGACAGGGAGAGAACACACAGCTAGGCCATGTACTCTATTATATATTGTGATGTCTCAGGATCCATTTATCCCTTTAGGGGTCTTACGGTTTTCTCTGTCACCTTGAGATCATAGCATCTGCTACAGGGACTTAAAGCAAGAGTGGGTATATGCTTGGCCTGGAGGCAGGATGGTGTTCGTTTGGATGACCATGAGTTTTTTTATTTAGCTCATATAGATCACCTATAATAACCTTCCATATCTTTGGACTTTGTATTTATAGATAGTATTCTGACCTAGAAACTAATCTGCTCCCTGAAATAAGACCTGGTTACAAAAACACTGCACATTTAACACTTTTTTGTCCTATTTACCCTCTGAAAAAAATATGAGAATAATAATACATTGATTTCAATGGTTATCAGGAGACCTGGTTCTAGGTCCAGGTGTCTTTAGAGCAGTCATTTCAACCCTCCAGGATTATTTGTAAACGGAAGTTAGGCTACTTCGGTAGTTGTTTTGTGAACCTTTACAGGCTTATAGGCCCCTTTGAAATTCAGATGAAACATGGCTCTCTCCTCATAAAATGCACATTCCTGAGTACACATATTTTTACATAATTTCCAAAAGCAAACAGTACCATTGCAGCCCACCTAGAACCTAAGAACCCCAAGCTTAAAATTCTGGAGTGAATGATCACTCCAACCTTCTACTCTAAGATTCTGTGGAGCTAGTTCATAATGCTTCCTGGAAAGTATTGAAATTAAGTAAGTCCCAACTAAAACTAGCAGAGAGAGGTGTGCATCTACATCTTTGCAGAAGTTCAGCCAATTATTGTAGGGTGCTGATACCATTCAGTTAGTTCTAGCCTCTCTTAAAAAAAAGCATAAGAAATTAGATTATTTTAAAGCCTATTTAGTTTTACTTAGTGTTTATTTCTAACAGCCAAGATGATTTTACTTCAGTTAAATCTATCCTTAGTGTAGAAAAATATGGAGACATTTTTCAGTACATGAAGAAATACTTCTAAAAACTATTAATCCTCTGTTGACTTTCATATCTATACCTCTTAGAAATTCATTAACTGGGGCATTATGCTTTTTTAATAAAACGTTATTTTGAGTTTACAGTATCTTACATTAGATTTTTTTAATTTCGGGGATTACAGGATAATTATATATGGTAAAAATGAATGTGCCATTTTATTTATGTATTCTCTAATATTTTCATGTCAAACAAGAGGAAATTAGGTGACCCTTTGACAGTTGATGGGAACACTTAAATTCTTCCTGGCGATCTGTATAAATTTTTTGATCATACATTTTATCTATTCTCAGTCCCATTTATGAAATAGTGGTAACTTACCCAAATGCAGAGAATAAGCCATGGCAAAATTAATAGTACGATTAATACACTAAAATGCCTTGTATCCCTTTGCCCAATCAAGTGTACTCATTGAATCCATTCTCCTTCCAGCTGTGAGGTTTATTTATCATCTTAGAGAATATCCTCTAGGAGAAGACAGAGTTTCATATTTATCTGCAATAACTACATTTCAGGATGTGCTGTTCCTGTCAGCCCGTACATATATGCTGTTTCCTCTGAATATCTATATTTTTACAGTATGGGCTAGAGGATAAAGGACAGCTGGCAGGGAACTTCTTTTCTAGTTCTTTAAAGACTGTCACCAGTAGAATTTTCAAAAGAGAGGAGAAAAAAATATGTCTGGCAAAAGCAGATTTTCTTAATTATCTTCTCAGAATAAGGGAGTGTCTGTGGAATGATGCCCACAAGAAAAAAGTGCTTGAGGATGCTTTTTAGAAGAGCTACATACTCACTGTTGACTGGCTTTGAGAATTTGGGCAATAATTAAAATGGGAGAGGTATAGAATATGCTGTCTGTAATATCATAGTCATCTTCCCTCTCAATTCTGAAAATATGGATGCTGTCCTTTGCCAACACCTATATGTTAACAAAAAAAATGTGAACATGTTGGTGTTATCCATTCTCATCCCTCTAGTATTCAGATCATTGCCTGAAGATAATTGGTTTCTTTACCTTCTCTTTGTAAGAAATAAACATTTATTTTAGTCGCTGCTGTGATGAAGTTTCCATGCTAGGTCCTGGGAAGATTTTCCTGTTTCTCTTCACTTTATTTAAAAAGATAACAGACATAGTCTTTCCCTCAGGGTATTCAGAGCCTGGTTGGTAAAGCACAATATATATTTTATATGTTACTATATTATATACACTCATGTAATTGACAAACGTAAGATTGTGCCAAGGAGAGATACTAAGTCTTCACTGAGCTGAATTTAAAGCAAGCAGTTTGAATTGGTGAGGTTGATGCATTTGAAGCCAAAACACCAATAAGCCAAATTGGATTTCAGCATTTGTACAAACTGAGAAGAGCAGAACTTCTAAATTATTTACTCACATTCTACCTTAGGAATTCTGTCCCAAAATCTGTTCAGAAAAAAAAAAAAGTAATTATCTCTTTTGCTACATCTGTAATAATTCTTAGTTTCAGAGCTGCTATATTTAAGTTGTAGTTAATCGGAATTGTGACTTAGTGGTAATTTGATACCTAGTGTTATTATACACAGGACCTGTTTGGACCAACATACTGGCTTCACCAGTACGATAGTAGAATGAAGATACAGGAGTTATATCGCACCTCTGCTAAAAGGAAAGCGTTGCCTTTTCAGTAGATTAGATTTTTGGTAGAACTCAATTTCTCTAACGTGAAAAATGTCAAAATTTGATGTCTGATTTTATTATTACTGTGAACAGGAGGCCCTCTGCATTCTTTTCCTCTTCCCTACAGAAGAAAAATCGCCTCTGTGGTTTGTGAAATCAGGCATTTCACCATTTCCATATTCCTAGGTGTAAGTCAAGCGTAGGTAGAGTAAACTTATTAAATTTGGGGGTTTTCTCCAGTGTGTTCTTAATTTAAAATAATATAGCTAATGTTCCCATTATTCATTTCTATCACAGGGCATGCAGTCTAGGCATTCCTAATAATTATTCTGTCTTTCTTGATAGATGAGTTAGTTTTAGCTATATACTATTTTATCACTTGTTTCTCTCTTGGTGGATTTTTCTAAAAACTGACACTCGCAACACTTGCCTGGTGGTTATATTAGATTGGTGGAATGTCTACAGTGTGCACTTTTGTGGCGCACATCAAGGAATGTGCTGGGAAATGACTGATCTCCTTTCCAGCTCTCATTAGGCAGCAAGGTGATGAATGAGCAGAACTCTCTCACCTGTTTTTATTTCCTGCTTTGTAAAGCCTTATTTACTGACTAATTACCAACACAAATGCATACTCTATCATTAGTTACATTGCAATTTGTATTATTATTATAATTAAATTGCAAATTGCTTTACTTTAACTGAAATGGGACCTTAATTAAGAATAGTACATAGCTTAATGTTTTCTAATAGTGAAAGATTATCCTGTGTGATGCACGTGTACCATGTATATTGTAACAAAAGGCGGTAGCCCCTTTATTGCATTCTATTTTGGTGGTGTAAAGTGCTTAAATATTGATTGTAGTTGGTTTTAATAGACACAGACTATGAAAGACGGTCTAATTAGACCAAATATCTTTTAAAATATTTTCCATACATCTCCCTGTGTTTTATTTTGGACAGTTGAAATATGGATGTCCACATTATTAAATTTATAAAAGCAGAATACGGTTTCA